TTTTCATCTCTAAGCAGTGGCCTCTCATATCTGGTGTGAGCAACCAGGCCTGTGGGTACCCTCTGGTGGGGGAAGGGAACACCATGTGTAATATACAGTGGTACCTCAGGTTAAGCACTTAATTCGTTCCGGAGGTCCGTTCTTAACCTGAAACTGTTCTTAACTTGAAGCACCACTTTAGCTAATGGGGCCTCCCGCTGCCGCCGCGCCGCCAGAGCACGATTTCTGTTCTCATCCTGAAGCAAAGTTCTTAACCTGAAGCACTATTTCTGGGTTAGTGGAGTCTGTAACCTGAAGCATATGTAACCCGAGGTACCACTGTAAAGATATTCCAGTTATTGAGCTTTTGGAAAAGTTCCTGGAACTATCAAGTTCTGATACAACTCAAGCTGGTTTTGCAAGAACTGGAGGAGAGAGGGCTTTGTATTAAGTGGAGCTGGATGAATAAGGCCCCATCATTACACTGCTTTAGGCTATAGGTAAATTGTGTGTGTGGTGTTGTTGTTGTTTTTAATAGGCTACTGTTTTACTACTTAGGGTGTTTTCTCTGGTTTAGCTTGTGCATGTGTGGGTGTTTAATTTGACGGCTATTTTGGAACTGTTTGATTCGTTTTCAGTTTGCATCAATACAGTCGTACCTTGGAAGTCGAACGGAATCTCTGTTCGACTTCCAAAACATTCGGAAACCAAAGTGCGGCTTCTGATTGGCTGCAGGAAGCTTCTGCAGCCAATCAAGGAGCCATGGAAGCCCTGTTGGATGTTCAGCTTCACTTCCGGGTTTGCGGCGTTCAGGAGCCAAAAGGTTTGAGAACTAAGCTGCTAGAAAACCAAGGTATGACTGTATTTGATTCTGTGATTTGGCTTCATTTGGGGAGCCTTGCTACTGCTTTGTTTGTAAAACCGTTTCTTTGTAAAACCGGGCAGGATAGGGAAAGTTTTGAACTAGCCATCTAACCAGCTGATGCAGGCTTATCTTAAGGACCACATTGGGTGCCACCACTTGGTGTCACAGTGTTTGGATCTGGCCCCTTGCCATGTCATAGATGGCTGCTCATGCATGTTGGCAGTGGATGTGATGGAGGTCACCTTCCACGCTGGACCAGGCCGGTGGCATCATCTGGTGCTTTGGCTGCCCTTTGCGGTTGTCGGCTGACTCCGACACGCCCGGGATGCTCTTGGGATGGTGGGAGTAGAGAAGGATGCATTGGGGAGGGGAGACTGGTCCCTTGCCAGGCACCTGCTCCTGGGGGGAATTTGGCTGAGACAGATTTCAGCTGCCAAGGAGGAGGAATTGCTTTGTGTTTTGTGTGTGGTGCCTGTCTTTGCTTTAAGCTGTTGGCAGGGAAACCCCCAGGATGTGCTCGTTGTCAGGGGTCTACTTGCTGCTTCATCTGCACAACCAATTCCCAGGCCACCCCGTTAGATGTGTGAAAGTGGGATACATGCATTCCGTTTGTTATTCTGCGGTGAGGTCACGGAATGCTCTTGAGCAATTCATGGTCAAATGACCTCCAGTTCTGCCTGAATGTTAATGCTTGGAAGGGCTGTTGGATGAATGAAATAGAGCACAAAGCATACTACATTCTGGAAGCTGCATTTGGATTCTCTGGTTCTGCTCTGCAGGGTTGGGTCCTTGTATCATTTACAGGAAGGTAGAAGAAGTTTGTTTTTGAAGGCCTACACTTGGAACGAGGGACACAGGTAGCGCTGTGGGTTAAACCACAGAGCCCAGGACTTGCCGATCAGAAGGTCAGCGGTTCGAATCCCCGCAACGGGGTGAGCTCCCGTTGCTCATTCCCTGCTCCTGCCAACCTAGCCGTTCGAAAGCACGTCAAGTGCAAGTAGATAAATAGGTACCGCTCCGGCAGGAAGGTAAACAGTGTTTCCATGCGCTGCTCTGGTTCGCCAGAAGCGGCTTAGTCATGCTGGCCACCTGACCTGGAAGCTGTACGCCGGCTCCCTCGGCCAATAAAGCGAGATGAGCGCCACAACCCCAGAGTCGGGCACGACTGGACCTAATGGTCAGGGGTCCCTTTACCTTTACACTTGGAACACCCAAGGCAAGTTCTTTCTCCACCATTTCTTGATGGAGGTATAGATTCCAAATCCAGATTACTTTATTAAATGAATTGTGCCATACCCAAAATGTGGCACGCACTGCCAACCTGAGCATCCCTACCTTAGTGTTGAGAACCTTCTTCAGTGTCAGCTGAGCATCAGCAAATGTAAGGAACAACAAGGGTGTACTGTATCTCAACAGTTGCTATCCACATGCACTAGTTGTAATTTCAGGTTGCAGTGTGGATAAAAGAATAAGGTTCTGGTCTTTGGGCAGGAAAGGGGAAAAAGTAAGGCAGCATCTACTCAAAGCTCTGAGGCTTGGCAGATTTCAGGCTTGCAGGACAACTCTTTTCAGCTCCTTCTCTCTTCGTGTAATGCAGACCTAACCTTGCCCTTGTAGACTACCTTTTCAGTGTCTTCAAAAGGCAATGCCTCCTCCCTCTGCAGTTAGAACTGGAGCACCCAAATTGGCACGAAAGGGAGTGTAGCTCAGTGGCAAACATTCTACTTTGTATCAGGGTGGATTTGATTTAAATCAAATCGATTTAAATCACTAGTCGGTAAGACTTGATTTACCGTATTTTTCGCTCCATAGGACGCACTTTTTCCCCTCCAAAAATGAAGGGGAAATGTGTGTGCGTCCTATGGAGCGAATGCAGACTGCTGAAGCCTGGAGAGCGAGAGGCATCGGTGCGCACCGACCCCTCTCGCTCTCCAGGCTTCAGGAAGCTATCCGCAAGCCTTGCAAGCCCGGTGGGAGTTCCCGCGGGCTCACAAGGCTTGCAGGCAGCAGCCTGCAGCCCCGGCGAGTGTCCGCAAGCCTTGCGCGCCCGGCAGGAGGTCCCGCCGAGCGCGCGAGGCTTGGGGCAGCAGCCTGTCGCCCGAAGCAGGGGGAGCCCTCCGGAGGGCTCCCCGTGCTTCGGGCGAGTGTCTGCAAGCCTTGCGCGCCCGGCAGGAGGTCCCGCCGAGCGCGCAAGGCTTGGGGCGGCAGCCTGTCGCCCGGAGCACGGGAGCCCTCCGGAGGGCTCCCGTGCTTCGGGCGAGTGTCTGCAAGCCTTGCGCGCCGGGCAGGAGGTCCCGCCCAGCGCGCAAGGCCTGGGGCTGCAGCTGTCGCCCGAGCACGGGGAGCCCTCCGGAGGGCTCCCGTGCTTCAGGCGAGTGTCTGCAAGCCTTGCGCGCCGGGCAGGAGGTCCCGCCCGGCGCGCAAGGCTGGGGCTGCAGCTTGTCGCCCGAAGCACGGGAGCCCTCCGGAGGGCTCCCGTGCTTCGGGCGAGTGTCTGCAAGCCCTGCGCGCCCGGCAGGAGGTCCCGCCCGGCGCGCAAGGCTTGGGGCTGCAGCTGCGCCCGAAGCACGGGGAGCCCTCCGGAGGGCTCCCGTGCTTCGGGCGAGTGTCCTGCAGCCTTGCGCGCCCGGCAGGAGGTCCCGCCGAGCGCGCAAGGCTTGGGGCGGCAGCCTGTCGCCTGGAGCACGGGGAGCCCTCCGGAGGGCTCCCGTGCTCGGGCGAGTGTCCTGCAGCCTTGCGCGCCGGGCAGGAGGTCCCGCCCAGCGCGCAAGGCTTGGGGCTGCAGCCTGTCGCCCGAAGCACGGGGAGCCCTCCGGAGGGCTCCCGTGCTCGGGCGAGTGTCTGCAAGCCTGCGCGCCCGGCAGGAGGTCCCACCCGGCGCGCAAGGCTTGGGGCTGCAGCTGTCGCCCGAAGCACGGGGAGCCCTCCGGAGGGCTCCCCGTGCTTCGGGCGAGTCTGCAGCCTCGCGCGCTCGGTGGGAGGTCCCGCCGAGCGCGCGAGGCTTGGGGAGGTAGCCTGCAGCCCGAAGCATGCGAGGCTTGGGGCGGCAGCCGTGGGGGGGGGAATTTTTTTATTCATGTCCCCCCCCCCCAAAACGAGGTGCGTCCTATGGACCGGTGCGTCCTATAGAACGAAAAATACGGTAAATCATTTTTTTACAGGAAGACTCATTCTTGCTGGTATAATCTTAATATTTACAACTAGATGAAGGTTTCATTTTTGGAATTATAAGTTTTCAGAGTAGTTTTTACAGTTATATAAAAAATGACTGATTTGGTTATACTATTAGAAATACATAGATAATTATGAAATTATGGTGAGGTTTAATAAGTTAACTGTTTATATTTTGACAACTTTTCTGCTGTACTTTATTGGAAGGAGAAAAATAATCATTCCCTTAACAACAATTTAAACAATTTATTTAACTTAAGAATAACATTATAGCATATGTAACAATGTTTGTTAACTGGTGTGGTTAAACATGGAAAAAACACACACAACTTAGACTGAGTTTTAGCACACAGGAAAAACTTATTTCCTGATGAATAGCCTTTGGACTACAGTGGTACCTCTGGTTATGTACTTAATTCGTTCCGGAGGTCCGTTCTTAACCTGAAACTGTTCTTAACTGTTCTTAACTTTAGCTAATGGGGCCTCCCGCTGTTGCCGCGCGATTTCTGTTCTCATCCTGAAGCAAAGTTCTTAACCCACTAATTAGGGTTAGTGGAGTCTGTAACCTGAAGCGTATGTAACCTGAAGCGTTTGTAACTCGAGGTACCACTGTATAATGTAACTTAAATAGAAAACTATCTGTAGAAAGATTTTCCCTCCAAAGGCATTTTATTTTAAAAATCCAATTTAAATAAAAAAAATCCGATATAAATTAAAAAAAATCTTTCTTTTTTAAAAATTGATTTTTATCCACCCTGCTTTGTATGCATAAGGTCCCGGATTCAGTCACCAGCCTTTCCAGGTAGGATTCGGACAGAACCCAGTCTGATATCTTGGGAGAGCCACTGCCAGCAGAAAAGACTTCTGACTGTAGAAGATGAAGCTACCTTGTACACAAGCTTGTTCCATCTAGCTCCGCTTTCTCTATATATTGGCAGGCAGCAGCTGTTCAGGGTTTCAGACTGAGCTCTCTCCCTGTCCTACCTGGAGATAGCAGGAATTGAACCTGGGACCTTGTACATGCAAGGCATGGGCTCTACCCACTGAGCCACAGCCCTTCCCCAGCTTTTCCCATCCCTCTGTTCAAGGAAAGGCCAAACTAGGTAGGATACCTGGTGTGTTTGATCTCCCCCCACCCCCAGTGAATAAATAGGTGGAAGAGGGGCCCATGAGTCTGATTGGGACTATGGTGTAGAGGGGGAAGGAATTAACCCTTTGCCCTCTAGGTAACCCCTCAATTCTGCTATTAGCAGTTGATGGAAACCTGCCATTTGCACCAGTTTCATAACGAATGCCAGTTTCTTCAAACAGTAGACACTGGGAAGGAGTGGGGGCACAATTCTAATCAAAACCACAGTGGGGCAAACGGTTGAAACTTGTCTCCTCCTACATCAGGACCCAATCTATCTCATCGCCTTTTTGCTTAAATTTAAATCAAGGATGATACCATGGCAAGCTTCCCGGCAAAGGCTTTTCAGGACACACCTTATATTGCTGACTGTAAGTTGTTTTAAATTAGGGTGTTTTTTTTAATGCTGTAACCCGTCTTCTGGCCTTAGGGTGAAGGATGGGAAATAACTAAAGGCGGGAAATTAATACCTGTTGCCAGTTCTGTTGATATAGAGTGGAATTCTGCCCACGCCTGAGTCTGATTTATTAAAGCCTTTCATGATTTGATTTAGCATTGAGCATCTTTTTCATGTTCTACCTCCATGCGCTGCTTGTGAGCTTCCCATAGGGGCAGTTGGCCGGCCACTGTGAGACTAGGAGGCTGTTCTCCTTCTCGTTACTATTCTTGCCCAATACGAATGGCATGCAGCCAAGTTTTACTCAAGAGTAGACTCATTGAAATGAATAAGCATGGCTAAGTTAGGTTGATTTACTGTTCTGAGTCAAACTTCGTTGAATGCCACCATGCACGCTGATTAGAGGGCTTGGTTCACCTGGTCATAGAATCATAGAATTGTATAGTCGGAAGGAACCCCAAGAGTAATCTCATCCAAGCCCTTGCAGTGCAAGAATCCTAAGATTGCAGCTTGTGGTAAATCCGTGTCCCTTGGGATTACTGTATTTTTCGCTCCATAAGATGCACCTAGTTTTTAGAGGAGGAAAACAAGAAAAAAAATATTCTGAACGAAACAGTGGATGTATGATTTTTGTGGTTCATGCTGTGGCCACAGACATGATATGTGATTTGACGGAGAGTTTGGGGTAGCCCAATGCAAAAATCCTGAGGATCCATGTGGATCCGTGCTTTATAACCATATTTTTGTGCCATTGCGGCCCCACGAAAGAGTGGATGCGTGTTTTTTTGGGTGCAGGCTGTAGCCATGGACATGCTATGTGGTCTGATGGTGAATTTGGGGTGACCCAATGCAAAAATCCTGAGGATCCATGGGCTTTTACCTCCCCCCTCCCAGGCAGCCTCCTTTATCGCTAGAGTCCCTAATCTCCCGATTGCTTGCCAATCAGCTGCTTCCTTTCAATACCCCCTTCCCTCTTGTTTGCCTTAGTGTCTTTTCCTTAGCAGGAGCAGTTTTTTGCTCCTCCTTTTCTTCTAATTTCTCTCCTCATCGGTTGTTTTTAGTATTCCTGTCTCCTCTCCTTGCAAGTTCCTTTCTTTACCTGGCAGGCTCCTTTACCAGCAGCCTTACCTCCCTCCTGATCGCTTGCCGATCAGCGGCTTTGTTTCAACACCCACTTCCCTCTATATATATATATATATATATATATATATAGCAAGATCTGCTTTTCGCCCCTGGGCAATTTGGCTCCAGGGACCACACATTCGCTCCATAAGACACACAGACATTTCCCCTTACTCTTTAGGAGGAGAAAAGTGCGTCTTATGGAGTGAAAAATACGGTAAGTCCTGGACTGTGCAAGTCATTTAAACACCAAAAGTATTTTGCAGTTCACCATCACTTGTGCCAGGTTAGCTTCCAGGAAGGGACTGCAATGCTTTCAAATCTGTCCTCCAGCCCACCAGGCCCCACTCTCCAGTCCAAGATCTATCCACACCTCTGATTATAATTTGAAAGGCTGTAGCTGAACAACAGAGCTCATACATTGCATGCAGAAGGTCCCCTGGCATCTCCTGTTAAAAGAGAATCTGGTAGTAAGTGGTATGAAAGGCCTTCTTTGCCAGGAGTGCTGAACAATACTGAGCTGCATAGACAAAAATAGTCTGATCAGGTATAAGGCAACTTCCTGGTTTTCCTCTCCCATCTGCGTGCCACCCTCCCTCTAAGATGCTTAGGATAGCATGCTTGGGGCATCCTCTTTTATCGCCATGATGACCATAGATTAGGCTAAGAAAAGATGCTTTGTGGCTGATCAGGAATTTGAACCTGGCTATGCTACCCTCAGGGACACGGGTGGCGCTGTGGGTTAAACCACAGAGCCTAGGACTTGCCGATCAGAAGGTTGGTGGTTCGAATCCCCGCGACGGGGCGAGCTCCCGTTGCTCGGTCCCTGCTCCTGCCAACCTAGCAGTTCAAAAGCACCTCAAAGTGCAAGTAGATAAATAGGTACCGCTCCTGCGGGAAGGTAAACGGCATTTCCGTGCGCTGCTCTGGTTCGCCAGAAGCGGCTTAGTCATGCTGGCCACATGACCCGGAAGCTGTACGCCGGCTCCCTCGGCCAGTAAAGCGAGATGAGCGTCGCAACCCCAGAGCGTCGCAACCCCACGACTGGACCTAATGGTCAGGGGTCCCTTTACCTTTACCTTTTACCCTACCCTCAGGAACTGGGCCTCAGCACAGGAACAAATGATGGGTACCATCCCTGCCATGCTGTACCCAGAACTGTATGCACTGTACCCCAGACCTCCTTCTGTGCCCAGATTCTGCACCAAATAACGAGACAAATGCTATGACCTAGATAGATTATGCAAATTAGGAAAGCCTCCCTAAAACAGCTTTATTTTGCATAACATCGTCTTCTAAACATGTTGATCAGCAAAGGGTTCTGCAGGATACATAAGTCAATGGCTTTAGCCCACAAAACCTTATGCCACAATAAAATGTGTTTGTCTTTAGGGATTCCATTGTTGTTATTGTTTTTCCGTAACACACACACACCCTCTGGAAATTCCTACATGCTAGAAATGTTACTTCTCCCTAGTCTGGTTCCTGGAATTGGACCATGTATTGCTCGAGCGTTTTCATGCTTAACACTGCAGCCGTGACACATAACAACTTATTATTATTAGGGGCTCTACCAAATTTCCTGAAAGTATATTTTTATTGGGTTGTATATTTCCTACATTCTCTTTTTTTAAAAAAAATAACAATTACTTTTTTATTCAAAATTAAAACAAAACATATTACCCAGAAAAATATCATCCTTATTTCCCCCATTTTTCCTCCCTCCCCCCACAGAACCCACCCACCCCCACCCCCAGAGTTCCCTCAGTTCCAGTCTTTGATTTCTCTAAAAATGCTGTTTTCGGCATGTTACACAGCTGTATAGATCCTCAAACTATTTAGCTGATAATTATCAATAAAAAGTATGTGAATGTTTATTCAAAACCAGCCAAGGAGTCCAGTTCATTTTGTTGTGTCTTCAAATACTTTGTAAAGGGTTCCCATTCATCTTTAAAGTCACAGTTATCCTTGTCCCGTAGCTTGTATGTCAGTTTTGCCAGTTCTGCATAGTCCATCAATTTTTCTTGCCATGATTCTTTAGTTGGGGTTTCTTCAGTCTTCCATCCTTGTGCTATTAAAACTCTCGTGGCCGTTGTCGCATACATGAAGATGTTTTTCAGCTTTTTTGGCAGATCTTTCCCTACAATCCCTAATAAAAATGCTTCAGGTTTTTTCACAAATGTTAAATGGAACATTTTCTTCAATTTGTTATATATCATTTCCCAAAATTTTTTAATTACCTTACAATCCCACCACATATGATAAAATGTCCCCTCCTTCTCTTTATACTTCCAACATATATTTGAACTAGTTTTGTACATTTCCCCTAACTGTACTGGTGTTATGTACCATCTGTACATCATCTTCATGTAATTCTCCTTCAACAGGGAACAGTCTGTAAATTTTAAATCGGTTTTCCACAATTTTTCCCAATCTTCCATCATAATGTTGTGACCTACATCTTGTGCCCATTTAATCATAACTGATTTTACCTCTTCATCTTTCGTCTCCCATTCTAATAGTATGCTGTATACAGCATACAGCGTATATTTCCTACTCTCCATCCCCATATCTAGCTGGGGCAGTACCTGAAGAGGGAGAGGTTCTGACCACTGCCAGCCAGTATAGATAAGATAGATGGACCCCAAGGTTTGACTCTGTATAAAGCAGCTTCCTCTATTCCTATGTAAGCTAAAGATCCCATTCATTTATGTAGGAAGGAAAATCAAAACCCTTTTCTGTCTACAGCTGAAGGCCCCCCAAAGAAAATATTATCTCCAGCAGGGACAGACTTTGGTAATATAGTGCCCTGAGCGAGGACAAAATGTGGTGTCCCTCTGCAAAAAACAAACAAACTTTGAGTAGCTACAGTGGTACCTCAGGTTAAGTACTTAATACGTTCCGGAGGTCCGTTCTTAACCTGAAAGTGTTCTTAACCTGAAGCACCACTTTAGCTAATGGGGCCTCCTACTGCCGCCGCGCCGCCGGAGTACGATTTCTGTTCTCATCCTGAAGCAAAGTTCTTAACCCGAGGTACTATTTCCGGGTTAGCGGAGTCTGTAACCTGAAGCGTATAAGCGAATGTAACCCAAGGTACCACTGTACTCATATAAATCTAGGGTTTTAATAATTATTATTTTGCACCCTGTCGGCTCAGCACCCTGTGCTGGGAAACTTCTCGCATTGCCGTAAATCCGGTTCCATCCTTAAAATACTTTGCTAACACAGGTGCCTTGGGGAAACTATTCCTGGATTTTCTACACCTACGACTCTCCCAACCTGTGCCCATGATGGGTCTTGTCCCCCAGGCAGTGGCGTAGCGTGGGTTGTCAGCACCCGGGGCAAGGCAAGTAATTTGCACCCCCTAACCAGTGGATTTGCGCCCCCTAACCCGTGGATTTGCGCCCCCTAAC